ATAATTATAATGCACTGGTCTAATGGTGCTTTTCCAGATTTTTCATATTTGAGCATAATTAATTCTCTCCACAATGTGGTAACAATACACTACAGCTCTACCACAGCTCCCCTGGGGGTTTGGTTTCTTTCACACATGTTTGAGTAATCCTTTATTATAAGTCTGTCAGCATCTCCAAAGCTCAAAAAGCTCTGTTGCACCTTGTGATGTCATGTAGTGGTAGTCTTCAAGTAAACAGATCCTTTTACCTTTGCCTTAAGTTCCCTAGAGATCGGCAAATATAGGTGTCTTCATGTATTATCACATGACATCACAAGGTGGAACAGTGTGTTTTCAGTTTGAGAAATGAACAGGCTAAATGTGCAGGGTTTGTGTGTTAAACATGTGTGAATGAAACTAAACACAACTTGAGGTCTGTTTTGAGAAGGAAACATTATAAAAGAAATAAGAAAATAGCAAAATATGGGCCTTTTAAACTAAAGCGGGGATATTTTTAAGTCAATGGTAACTGTAGCATTTAACATTTCAAACTCTCCATTGGTCATAACGGGCAACAATAAAATGAGCTGTGGACTAATACTGCTGTGTCCATGTGTTCTGTCCTGACCTCCGGGATCCATAAGGCACAGCTGACGTGGACCCACTTGGTCCCAGAGCGCGTGGGCTTCAGAGCTCCTCCTCGTTTGGGGCACAGCAGACACTTGGGCTGCACACCCAGAGCACAGGTCCGACACAGCCAGTTCCCCTGGGGCACCTTCAGGATCCCGTAACACGCCTGAGAGAAGAGCAGACAGAAACGAATATCAAACTACTGTAACACGCCTGAGAGAAGAGCAGACAGAAATGAACATCAAACTACTGTAACACGTCTGAGAGAAGAGCAAAGAGAAAAGAACATCAAACTACTGTAACACGCCTGAGAGAAGAGCAGACAGAAACGAATATCAAACTACTGTAACACGCCTGAGAGAAGAGCAGACAGAAACGAATATCAAACTACTGTAACACGCCTGAGAGAAGAGCAGACAGAAATGAACATCAAACTACTGTAACACGTCTGAGAGAAGAGCAGAGAGAAAAGAACATCAAACTACTGTAACACGTCTGAGAGAAGAGCAAAGAGAAAAGAACATCAAACTACTGTAACACGTCTGAGAGAAGAGCAGACAGAAACGAATATCAAACTACTGTAACACGCCTGAGAGAAGAGCAGACAGAAATGAACATCAAACTACTGTAACACGTCTGAGAGAAGAGCAAAGAGAAAAGAACATCAAACTACTGTAACACGCCTGAGAGAAGAGCAGACAGAAATGAACATCAAACTACTGTAACACGTCTGAGAGAAGAGCAGACAGAAATGAACACCAAACTACTGTAACACGTCTGAGAGAAGAGCAAGAGAAAAAGAACATCAAACTACTGTAACACGCCTGAGAGAAGAGCAGACAGAAATGAACATCAAACTACTGTAACACGCCTGAGAGAAGAGCAGACAGAAATGAACATCAAACTACTGTAACACGTCTGAGAGAAGAGCAAAGAGAAAAGAACATCAAACTACTGTAACACGCCTGAGAGAAGAGCAGACAGAAATGAACATCAAACTACTGTAACACGTCTGAGAGAAGAGCAAAGAGAAAAGAACATCAAACTACTGTAACACGCCTGAGAGAAGAGCAGACAGAAAAGAACATCAAACTACTGTAACACGTCTGAGAGAAGAGCAGACAGAAATGAACATCAAACTACTGTAACACGTCTGAGAGAAGAGCAAAGAGAAAAGAACATCAAACTACTGTAACACGCCTGAGAGAAGAGCAGACAGAAATGAACATCAAACTACTGTAACACGTCTGAGAGAAGAGCAAAGAGAAAAGAACATCAAACTACTGTAACACGTCTGAGAGAAGAGCAAAGAGAAAAGAACATCAAACTACTGTAACACACGTGATGTCACATAGTACTTAAAATTCCAATGGCTGCTGGATACTGCAAACCTTCTGTTTTTAAACACCATTCTATAAATGTAATTGATTCTAGTTTTCACTTGCCACAAAAGGACTAGGAATAGTAGATAATGCCATTAAAACACCAGAGTGCACAGACAGTTCAGCAGCTCTGTGCTGTGAAGACCTGGTGCAGGCCTGGTGCAGACCTGGTGCAGACCTGGTGCAGACCTGGTGCAGACCTGGTGCACTTGTCACAGAACACTGTGTCGTGTGTCAGTGTACACGTGTGTGTCCAGGGTCATACTGTATTGTATACTTCAGTATTATTAAGTATAGAGTTGGTTCACACAGACATTACATGTATCACAAAACACAGTATTCTGTGTATGAGACAGAACACAGTGTGATACTTGAGTACTAGAGTACAGGTGTAGTTCATACCTGGTGCACACAGACGTTACACTTGTCACAGAACACCATCTCGTTTCCGTCTTCACCCTCTGGAGAGCGGCACACGTCACACACCACGTCTTCATCGTACTCAATCCCCAGCCCCTCCTCCTCCTCAATGGCCTGCTGCATCTTCTGCTCACACACAGACTCCAGCTCCACCAGGGCGCGCTCTAGAGTCAGCTCGTCCAGAGGGGGTAAGGCTGAGACAGACAGAGAAAGGCTTAGAAATGGAATGATGCTGATTCAGTGTTTTTTTTAGAAAAGAAATAGCTTGGTTTGTTTCTGCTGCTGAAAGTACATTTGTCTGTTGGCATCACCTTGTTTGTTTTGGTTTGTCGTTGGCTTCACCCAAACCACCTAAGATGGTAGAAAGCTCCAAAAAGTCAATTTTGCATAATAGCCCCTCTTTAACAAATCAACTTTAGAAAAAAAAAAACAGCAGGGAGAATTAGATTTGCTCTTTGACAGTAAAGTCTATAGCATCAGTCTTATTAACTAGGACAACTTGACCAGCCTGTTTAATCCTGTACTACAAATGATCATCTGAAACATTCAAACGATTTCCTTTGTACCGTTCTGGCTGCAGCACTTTGTTTGCACTTAAAGTTATAAAAGCACCATTTCTCATCTTTTGGACGTGCTACAAACCTCAGGAGGCAGGACTAAATGCGTCCTCTTCTCATTAAGAAACTGAATCTACAGCCATTTTTTATCAAACACAAAATAAAGCGCCTCATTTGTCTTTTCGAGTCCTTTTCGCCAGGATGGCCGTCTCGTTAGTGCCAGAAAAGGGACTAAATTGGCTTGGCGCTTTTGCATGTCCTTGCTCAGAGCCGGTAATGACTGATAAAAACAGGATTAGCTCAAACATCGTCTTTTATCTGGATTTGAATAAAGCTTTTGGGTGACGGTTAGCGACGGTTAGCGACGATGGCGCTAATATTTCCAAAAGCAACCCGAATATGCGCGCTTCATTATTTTCTCATTAAGAACAATCAGATTTCAGTGATTAGAGCGAATGTTTGAGGATAAAGTGTTCAAACCAGTGAGAAGAAAAACTCCAGCTCTGAATGAACTGTACTGGACAAACTGATACAAAACACAGGCTGCTTTTTATTACGCTCATATTAATCATCCGTGTTATGTTAGACTGACTTTATTTTGTTTTCTCTTTAAAGACGGGGTATAATGCAAAATCCACTTTTTGGAGCCATGTTATAATGGGGAGGGGAGTGACTTAACACGGAGAGCAAGGGGACGTGAAACTCAAGCTTCAAAAATGAAAGTGAAGTGAAATATAGCATTTTTAAAACAAAAGGTGAATGTGTTAGTGGTTAATACCCCACAGAAACAGAACACCCCCTCTTGAACAATCACACTAGTTTTGTTTCCTCCCCAGTACTTTATTTAACTACATATTCCTCTAAAGGTGCTCTATGTAACTTTTCTAGTGGAAGGCTAGAATAATGTCATACAGTGGAACATTCTTGATAAAGCAATATTATCTCCATGGAGGTGGCTGCCCCCATCACAAAAGTGAAATAATATGCCTTTACATTCTGCAGAATGTAGAACGTTTGTCTTTTGCACACAAACTGATTAGTCAGTAATCAGTAAAATCTATATTTGATTTACTGACTTCAAATGTTTTATATTAGGCTCATATTAAGTATTTGCATATGACAGGGTAGACTACACTTTTCATTAAAAACTACTTAAACTAGATAACTAAAACTAATCCATTATTTGACTTCGTCTTTGGAAGCAGGACTCACATATGTAGAGATAAATATGTAGAGGTCAATCCATAAATCTTAATGAGTGTCAAATATGATGCTCTAAATAACATGAACAATTAATAGTTATGATTAGATAAATAACAATAATTTGTAGCCACAGTCTGCCCCAGGGCAGCTGTGGCTACAATAGTAGCTTACCACCACTGAGTGTGGAGTGACTGAATAATGAACTGTAAAGTGCTTTGGGGATCTTGAAAGGCTCTATATAAATGCAATCAATCAATCAATCAATCAATCAATCAATAAACAACAACTCTGTTTTGTTAAATGAAGGTTTAAAGCTCCTACATTAAATCAAAGTGACTCTTGTGAACTTTAAACCATGTTAAAATATTGTTTCCTCCTCAAAAACTGACCTGCAGTTGTGTTTTGTTCCATTCACATGTTTGAGTAACTCTTTATTATTAGTCTGTCTACATCTCCAAAGCTCAAAATACTCTGTTCCACCTTGTGATGTCATGAAGTCCCTAGTTTTCAAGTTTACAGCTCCTTTAACCGTTAGTTCAATAAAGATTGTCAATTCCAGGGCTGAAATGATCCAAATGATTCTAGTGAAGGTACAGTATATGGAGTTTAAAAACACAGTGGAGCACTTCCTGTATTACCACATGACATCACAGGGTGGAACAGAGTGTTTTGTTTTTTTCAGTTTGAGAGAAGAATTCTTCCAGGGTTTGAGTGTTAAAAAAACACAACTCCAGGTTTGTTTGTGATGAGGAAACAACATCAGAACATAGATCAGAAAACACAGTAATGTGGGCCTTTAAACGGTCACAAAAGTGTCTTTCTCATGTGTAAACTAACGCTGCATTTGGGATGGAGTTTTCCGTGTTGATGATATAATCAGAGGAATTCCATTTTAAAACTCGGTGCTACTTACTGCATTTCTAAACTTTGCTTATTAACCTTTTAGCACAACTTAATCTAAAATAATGACCACAGGTACTATCCCACCAAACCAAGTCCAAATTAGAAAAACATGAAAACCTGTCACATGCAAATCCTCCATTACACAGGCTCCATTGTACTTGAGCTTGGAGGCTCTCACACACGCAGAGGAAACTGTTGTAACTTATTAACCTGAGTGACATTTAGATCCAAACACAGCACAATATTGACTGTGTGCTTATCTTCTGCTGTTTTTCCACATCTGCACCGCCTCTGAAAATGTCACCCAAACACATCCTCCTTTACACAGCACCAAAACTCTACTGGAGAAATCATTTGACTGAATTTTCGATTTGTTATTTACATATTTGAGAGCGGTGAGTGCAGCAGGTTTACGTCTAACACATCACACGTTTACATCACCACGTTACCTTTTATTGTTTTGAAAATGTCATATTCACTGAAAACAACTTGTCAACATGTTTAATAAGTTTCAGTTTAGTTTTAGACACTTTGAGTCTCCTCTCCCTTTGCTCTCTGTGCTAAGTCACTCCCCCTTAAGAGCAATATCACAACAGAGTCAGCGTGCATCCTGCTAATGAAATAACTGCACATTGCATCAGGATTGTGAAGCTGTAGTGTATTGTTTTGTGTCCTGCTTTTATATATCTATGAAAAAATGGTTTTGTGGGAGCGTGGCTGACACAGGCGTGTGGGCCTACAGGATCATACTGCTACCTGTAACGAGGAAATAAGAGTACTCAGTGAGCCTCATTTGGCTGGCTGATTTGGGTGACGTCACACTCTCTTAGTGCACTTCTGTTATACAGTCTATGGACAAGATGAAGTGTGCTCAGATACGTGGAAATAATCAGGTGCAGGGCCTCTAGAGCCACAACATGTGCCCAGGGCCCTTTAAGCACTCACTTGTTTGCAGAGAACAGGATACTGGGTAAATAATTGCACCTTTTGTGATTTGTTGATTGCGACTATTGAAAGAGCGGTTTCAGTGTGATTGCATTGAACCTGACAGGCCACGAGAAGAGAATATTGTAGTTATGTAAGAGTCAGATACAACAGCTGCTAATGACTTCAGGGGGAGAGGGACCGCTGTGAAAATGCATTGATTTACAAAGAAACAAACAAGCTGCTTTAAATAAAGAAAAAGTATACACTATTCAAAGAAATCTCAAGTGTAACAGAAAAGCTATGCATCACCAGATTCAACTAAACCTTTAAATTAGCCTTTATTCAGACAGTAATAGTGGGGAGCTCAAGGGAGGCAGGGGGGACTGAATTGTAAAGGTCCTATATTACACAAAATTTACTTTTGTGAGCTTTAAGATAATAAGGTTATAATGTTGTTACCTCATCAAAAACACATCTGGAGCTCAAAAATGCTCTGTTCCACCTTGTGATGTCATGAAGTGGTAGTTTTCAAGGTAACATCTACCTTTTACCTTTAGTTCAGTAGAGTTGAGCAATTCCAGGGCTGAAATCATACAAATGATTCTAGTGAAGGTGTATGGAGTTTAAAAACACAGTGGAGCATTCCATGCACTACCACATGACATCACAAGGTGGAACAAAGTGTTTACTGTTAAAGAGAAATCCTAAATATGCAGGGTTTGTGTGTTAAACATGTGTGTATAAAACAAAACGCTGTGATGAGGAAAATAGATCAGGACATGTGTAATATGAGCACATGATGCATTCTTGTGGTTTGAACTCCATTTAAACATTCTTTTGGGATCAGTATTACACATTTTCCAACTTAAAATAATGTCTGCATTTGGAAAACATTCTTTATAAACCTCACCTCCATTTCCAATGAGGCATTTAAGTGTTGAAGCCTCCTCTGCTGTTAGCAACAGGAATCAATTCTTTCACAGTCCTTGTTCCCCGTGAACGCTGCGCTAATAGACCCGTGCTGTGGTTGTGAACACAATGTGACCACAGAATAAGTCCTGTGATGGTTTATGGGATTAAAAACTGTACAGGAAAAGTGAGGAGTTTTACCTGTGATGCAAAAAATTTGTCATATGTGTAAAAAAAAAAAAAAAAAGCATAGTTGAGTCTCAGAAAAGAAGAGTTTGGATGACGAAATGAAACAAGCGTGAATGAAATAAAATACTACTCCAGGTCGGTTTTTGATGATGGGACAGTATCACATGGGTAAAAGCTCCATTCTGCTGTGATGTCGCTCACCCATTTGTCTGAACTCCTGGTTGACGAGGTTTAACCAGGCCACATCCAGATCGTCCAGGTCGTAACACGTGTAGAGTCTGTGCCGAGGAGGTGGGCTGGTACCCCTGTGATCCTGCTCTGAGTCCTGCTCCGAATCCTGGTCCGAGTCCTGGTCCTGATCTGGTCTGGAGAGTCCACAGGAGGTCTGCTCTGTGATTAACCTGCAGCAGAGACAAAAGTGTACTTATGATAACATGTCACTAAGATAAACTGCAATCAAAATAGAAATTTTAATGGATGCAAAGGCTGCAAAACAAAAATTTTATATGTAATACATCCCTATATATCACATAAAAAAAAAAAAAAATGACAGGTTATTTTCTTTTTCATATTTCCTCAAAAATAATCAGGATGGAGAACAACAAAAACAAATGTTGGATTAAGGATGTTAATGGAGCTTTTCAGATTCTAGAATGTGATGATGTCCTGCTCCCAGATGGGATAAGAGACAGTTAGTAGACCTATTACTTACATTTTACTTTGCCATGAATTATCTAAAAGGTAAATTCACAAATGTTGTCCCTGATCATTAACTCAATATAGTCTACGTTCAGACTGCAGGGTTTAACGCTCAATTCGGATTTTTTTGTGAAATCTGATGTTTTTGCGAGGTCGTTCACATTTCCAATTAAATGTGACTTGTATGTGACTCCAGTGTGAACAGTAAACAGCCCAAAAGTGTCCCGCATGTGCACTGGAGACACGACGACGTCAACCGCAGCGACCGTGCTCTGTGTTTACGGAAGTTGTCCAAACATGGACGCAGCATTGAGCACCTGGAGATTTTAAAGTTCCTCTCGTACCGGAGCCAGAACATGTAGGAGATTGAGAAGGACGAGGTTTTTGGCCGTGGCGTTTGTGGGGCTGTTCAGACTGAAGTTGCATGTCAAAAGATCAGATATGTATCGGTTTCAGGAGCACATATCAAAGTGTCCTGAGTCACGTTTGAAAAAACTCAGATCAGTGTCATTCAGACTGTCATTAAAAGATCAGATACAGGTCACATAGGGGCCAAAAAATCAGATTTGGGTCACTTCAGGCTGCAGTCTGAATATAGCCTATATTACAACACAAATCTGTATTTGGACAACATGCATTTTAACAGCTCCCATCTGTATTTCATATTATTGGCCTAAGGAATGTTGTGATGTCATCTTAAACCATAGGACAGTAAACAGTTCTCAAGGACTTGGGATGCTGTCCTGGAGAAGTTGGACTGTGTCATGTGACCCTCCTGAAGAAAATGCAGAAAACATGTCAGGGTGCAAACAACACACTGCTCATACAGGACTCCTTACCCTTGGGCCTGTTCAAGTCCAGGTTTAGTTCTGGTTTAGTCACACTTTAGTCCCAGGTTTGTTGTGTTGCATGCATGATGGCAGCCGCATATAACTGCAGTTGGACAAACTCTAACAAGAACTTTTTTTTTACAGTGGCTGATATCATAATGTATTTTCAATGTTCAAACGTATTAATCAAAGTTTGCAAAGTCCTCCATTTTAAACCCGTCTGTTTATATTTGATATTCTGAAATGCATTTTGCTGTTGACAGAAGCCTGTGCACACAAACACAGAGCAGAGTCATTATTGACCAAGCGGAGTGTCCATGTGGCCTTTAGAAACAATGGAGCAGATACAGACACACAGAGTCCAGACGAGAGGCCAGCACCACAACACACTCTGGAGTAAACTTCACCGACACAGGGACACACAGGGACACACAGGGACACAACGTCTGGGTTAGTCCTGGTTTAGTCATCAATCATAATGCACTAGACTTATATAGTATCAGTAAAATAGTCTTGTACAAGCACTAACCAGACCAAGCTCTGCTTAGCAAAAGAGACATGATGAGACCAGGTACTGACACGAAACACACTCACCTCACAACAAGTGAGTTTTAACCCAACCACACAGAACCCAACCACACTGAAAGAGGGTCACATGTAGAGGATGAATTTCTGTCATGGGGGAATGAAGAAAGAACTCCTTAAAGTTAACCATGACAAGTCCTGGTTTAGATTTTTAGTGGTCATTATTGAACCAAGATGATTTAGATCAGGTTTAGTCTTAGTTTAGTCCTGGTTTAGTTCTAGTTTAGTCCTGGTTTACTTCTGGTTAACTCTTGGTTTAGATCTTCTTTAGTGATTGTTATCTATCCAAGATGCTTTCGATGAGGTTTAGTCCTAGTTAATCCTGATTCAGTCCTGGTTTTGTCCCTTTTTACTCCTGGTTTAGATCTGGTTTAGTCCTGGTCCAGTCTTGGTTTAGACCTGGTTTAGTCCTGGTATAGTCCCAGTCCTATTTTTAGACCTGGTTTAGGCCTTGGTTCAGTGCACATTCTCAAAGAAGAATGCTAAATATCCATCTCTTCTCCTCAGTCTCCCTGGGCTCGTTTAACAAATGCAGGGGAATATTATTGTGCACAAATAAATCCATAAATCTGATAAAGCCTGAACAGAAAAAAAGCAAATCCAACGTGATCTGCAGAGAGTGTAAAGGGTGCGCTTCAATGTCTTATCCACCTACTTAATGCTGTAAGCTGCTTTAAACATTGTGTAACAAAACAAGGCCAGAAAAGAGAGAATTCACTCATTAGGAAAAACAATACGACCAACTCTTATCATTACTGCAGACCTAAAGAATGCATTTAGTGACTGCACATACCTGTTCTCAAAAGTGAACAAAGAAAGACGGAAATTCCATATGCTGAACCTGAACTTGGGTCGGTAAACAAAAGTGATTGAAGGATTATTCTAATTTGATAAACATGACCTTTTTACGTCCTCGGAGAAGGCCCATTAGCCAATCAGAAGGCAGAATGAGCTCCGCACTTCGGGTTGCCAGATCCTATGACTAAAAGCAGTTTGTAATGAACCTAAAAGAATGAGAGATACAAAAATGATCACTTCAAGAGGGTGTATTTTACTTCAGTGGGGTATTCATTGCTAACGTCATATATTTAGATCACCATGTTACCTTTCATTGTTTTGAAATTAACAGGTTTTTTAAGTGTTTCAAGTCTCGCCTCCATTTGCTCTTCACTCTGAGTCACAGCCCCTTCAGAGCGCTGTCACAACACCATCAGCGTGCATCCCGCTAATGAAACTACTGCAAGTCTCATCAGGTTTGTCAGTTTGTCAAGTAAATACTCAAAGTTAATACTCTTCTGTGAAAGATAACACAACGTAACAGTTCTTTGTACAATTATCAACTGCTGACACACCTTTGACAGACTTCTTAATACACTTGATGTTGTAATTTTGCAGTTTTTTTCTATCAAATTTCACATTCAAAATTAATCCGATTTAACGTTTTGGTTCATGATTTAAAGGCTCCTTAATGCGCTATTTTCTGATTTATGTTATAATGTTGTTTCCTCATCCAAAACATGCCTGGAGTTATGGTTTGTTTCATTCACACATGTTTAACACACAAACCCGTCAGATTTAGGCTGAGTTCCTCTCGCAAAAGGAAAACACTCAGTTCCACCTTGTGATGTTATGTGATACAGGAAGTGCTCTGCTCTGTTTTTAAATTCCACACACCTTCACTACAATCATTTGGATGATTTCAGGTCTGGAATTTCCAATCTCTACTGAAGAAAAGATAAAAGGTAGCTGTTGACTTGAAAATTACCACTTCATGACATCACAAGGTGGAACAGATTATATTGAGCTTTAGAGATGTTCTTCAAACATATGTCAATGAAACAAAACACAACTCCGAAAACACACTGTGAGCAGGGGTCGCCTCTGATCTAGGGCTGGGCGATGTGGATCAAAAAATATATCTCGATATATTTTGCTATATCTCGATATACGATATATATCTCGATATATGTTCAAGAAAAAATAACCCCCTAAAACTGAAAACTGCAAAAACAAATCTGCCAAATTCCACAAGGTCCTTTTTTTTTAATTAAAGTGTAAGAGGTTGACAGTTCATATAGGAACATTTAAGATGACAAAAAACCCTAATTACATAAATAATAATTTAACTGTAAAATAAAAGAAATAATACATATTTTCTTCTTTTCATTCATAAATAAAACAACTCAACACAAGTTCATCTTTGCATTAACTCTGTTGTCCAAACCAGAACCATAACCATGAGCTCATTTAGCAGAAGAAACTCAGGATGTTCCTTATTTCAATAGATCCATGTTATTATCCAGCAGTAAGGAGCCCTGAGGTTTAATCCCACAATCCACTGCAGATCAAACCCAACGTTTCCAAACACTGTTGTACAAGTGACACTGCAGCAGATTATTAATAAAAATATTCTGCATAAATAAACTTTACATTGCTAAACTTTACAATATATAAAGCATAACGACTCTAGAGCCACATCAGCCTGTTTGCAATAATAATGTGTTTAATGCAGTTTTGCGCACGTGTGTTTACATTTTACAGAAACGAAACTTAAGCGCATGGCTCATTTGCATAAACAGCACTTCTCATGCAGCTCAGCTGGTTTAGCTTCTTTCGGGCTAAAGGACGCGACTCGGTGGAATATGAGGATGTGCTGCTGATGTTCTTGTCTGTAAATGGTGGAAAAGGTTCGTGGTGCTTGAAGTTTTTCACTGTCACCAACTTTCGGCGTTCACGGTGATAGTGAGGAGTGAAGGAGACACGAGCGAACAAAGTCAGGGAGGCGGAGGCGACGAGAGAGAAGACAAACAAGCGAAGCGACGAAATCAGAATTGAATATAAACATTATATCGATATATACGATATGTCAGAATTCATATCGAGTTTAAAAACTATCTCGATATATTTAAAATATCGATATATCGCCCACCCCTAATCTGACCTGTAACTTAGTCAGGTTTGGTCTCCATGAAAATAGAGTTTAAGGTTTAATGCCATACTATGAATCCATGAAGAAAAGCATTTGACCTCCACCAGAAAAGTTAAACAATGCACCTTTAAAGCTCATAAGTAGAGCACGACCGATATGGATTTTGTTGTGGATGATATGATACCGATATAATGGACGTTGGAGCTGCCGATAAAAACTTAGGTTTGGCTCTAGTGGATTTTAAATTGGGTTTATTTAGGCAACATTTATTGTCATTCTGCCTCTTTACGTCATATTTACAGACAGTAGGTCGGACTAATGGCATTTTTGTATCACATTCTAGCTACTAGTGATGGGT